CACCGGGTCAAATGGTAGGTTCATTTGTAGTTTTTTAAGTTCTCTACACTGCTTTCCATAGGGGTTGAACAAGTTTACAGCCCCACCAGCAGCGGATAAGTGTTCCCCTTTCCCCACATCCTCTCCAACATTTGGTATCATTTGTTCTCTTGATCAAAAAAAAAAATGTAATTGAAAAATAATTTATGTATAATGAACCATGGCCACTTAGACTACATAATTGTATAAATCTTGATGAATTTTATTTAAATTTTTTTAGAATTTCATATATGGCTATTGTATTTGCATTATTTCCATTCCTCCCAGTCCCCCTCTAACTCCTCTCATGTCCCCCAACTCTCTCTCTCTCAATTCCTTGTCCTCTTGTCCTCTTTATTACTGTTATACATACATTTATAAACACACATATATATATATGTATATATATATATATATGTATATATATATATATATAAAATATATTCTGGATATTTAACTGTGGGAGCCCACAAGCGACCCTGCAAAGATGACGCTGAGAGGAAGTGGGAGAGAGATGGCCTGACTTGTTTTGAAAGTCTTCACACTGGCTGACAGATACTTCGCACTGCTGAGGAGTGCATAATCAGCCTGTGATCAACCTTAAGATCCATGAAATGCTGCCTTCCTGCTCGATTGACCTTTAAACTGATTGGACACCCTTAGGGGGGAGGGGGATTTCCAGGTGCCTTTATAAGCTCTGAAACACCTGCAATAAACGAACTCCTGCTTGACAAGATTCCCTTTTGCGTCTGATTGTCCTCAGCATGGAGGGCTGGTGAAACTGGCAGACAGTGCACTCACCTTTCCCTGACCTTACCCACAGCAGGTTTCCCCAGACTGGTCTGCAGGACAGAGCCGAGCTCCTCTGGAAAAACCCGTATTTAACCTCTGTTAGATGTGTCGCTGGTGAAGATTTATTCCCATTCTGTGGGTTTTCTGTTTGCTTCCCTAGTTTCCTACTTTGATGTACAGAAGCTTTTTAGTTTAATGAGGTCCCACTTGTTAATTCTCCCCTTGTTTCCTGAGCAATTGATGTCCAGTTTAGAAAATTCTTTCCTACACCTATATCTTGTAGGTTTTTCCCAATGTTTTCTTCTAACAGTTTCAGAGTTTCAGGCTTTACATTGAGGTCTTTGATCCATTTGGAATTGACTTTTGTGCAGGGTGAAAGACAGGGGTTTAGTTTCATTCTTCTACAAGTGGAGATCCAGTTTTGCCAGCACCATTTGCTGAACATGCTGTCTTTCCTCCAGTGAATATTCTTGGCCCCTTTGTCAACTATCAGGTGGCCAAAACTGCATTTACTCATATTTGGGTGGTCAATTTTGTTCCATTGATCTATGGGTCTATTTTTGTGCCAGTACCATGTTGTTTTTATGACTATAGCTCTGTAATACAGCTTAAAATCTGATATAGTAATCCCCCCGGCATTGCTCTTAGTGTTCAGGGTTGTTTTGGCTATCCAAGGACTTTTGTACTTCCATATGAATCTTAGGATAGATTTTTCCAATTCTATGAAAAATATCATGGGGATTTTGATTGGCATTGTGTTGAATCTATATATGACTTTTGGTAGGATGGTCATTTTCACAATATTAGTATATAGAAAGGCTATAGACTTTTGTAGGTTAATTTTGTAACCTGCCACTTTACTGAATATGTTAATAATTTCTAGGAGTTTTGGGGTGGAATTTTTGTAGTCTCTTAGATATATCATATCATCTGCAAAAAGGGATAATTTGATCTCTCCTTTTCCAATTATTACTCCTTAATTTCCCACTCTTGTCTTATTGCTTTTGCAAGAGTTTCAAACACTATGTTAAAGAGAAGTGGAGATAGTGGACAGCCTTGTCTGGTTCCTGATTTCAATGGGAATGCTTCCAGTTTTTCTACATTTAGAATGATGTTGGCTGTGGGTTTGTTATATATGGCTTTAATTATGTTGAGGTATGTTCCCTCCAGTCCAATTCCCTCTAGGACTTTGAACCTAAATGCATGTTGAATTTTGTCAAAGGCCTTCTCTGCATCTATTGAGATGACCATGTGGTTCTTGTCTTTTAG